AAGACTTCCTCGCCTTTCCTGACCCGGAAGCTTGAAATTGGCAGCAGTTTCAAGGATGGAGGGCGGGGTGTTTGGAAGATGTTGATCTCGCCCCAGCGCCGCGCACGTTCGTCTTCAAGTGTCTGCAGCAATTTCACAAGTGGAGGGGACCGTTTTCAAAATGTAACTCACTCGCCGTCTCGCCGCGTATATTCGTTTTTTCTTAAAACGTTTGCAGCTGCTTCAAAGATGGAGGGCGATTCCTTTTCAGTGTGACTCCCGCACTGGCGTCACGCATATTAGGCATAGCAGCCTGCAGCAATGTCACGGATAGAAGGCAGTTCCTTTTCAACATGTGGCGTTCGCCGCGCAGATTCGTCTTCAAGTGTTCCAGCAGTTACAAAGATGGAATCTCGGTTATTTCCCAAATGGGGCTCTCGCCTCAGCGCCGCGCAGACGCCGGTGAACACTTTGCATCGGTGAGAAGGATGGGGAACAATTCTTTTTAAAAGCTGACATTTTCTTAGTGGCCCCCTGAGCCTTCCTTCACTTCGACAGATGTCGCAATGCACGGATCGAGGGCGGCTCCTTTTCATAATGGAGCTCGCACTTGAGAATTTCTCGCAAATCATGGTCCCAATTGTAGATGTATTCATCAGCCTGCCCCTTTGCGGGACCACCAGGCTGTAGGGTGAAGTTGCTACTCCATGCGCTAGTTGCAATTTCAAGTCTCCAGTGTTACAATCCTGCTTTCGGCTTCCGACTGTAAACTGTTTAAATCCGCGCGAGGGGGGGAGCCCCCAAGGATTCGGTTACCACGCCCGGATCGCGTTGTCTGAATTCCGGGGGGGGGCGTGGGACACGTAAAAATACTTGAGATTCGCGCCCCCGAGGCCATAATCCCTTGACAATGTTCGCGTCCCCGAGGCCACAAAGCTTGCGCATTACACATTTTAGCGTCCCCGAGTCAACATACCATCATATATTACGCAACGTCCGCGTCCCCGAAGCCATAAACCTTTGCAAATTACGCCACATTTGCATTGCCGAGGCCAAGAGTGCTCCAAGGCGCCCGAAGATGGCTCAAAGAGGCCTCCCGAGAGAGCCCCAAAGAGGGCCAACTCGTAGATTTTACACACGTTTTTGAAGGATGTTGGCCTTCTCGCATTTTCGGCTTTCCGACGCTCCAAGACGGCTCCAGAAGCTCCCAAGACGCCCCAAGACAGCCCAAAGCGCCTCCAAGAGGGCCCCAAAACGGCTCAAGAGGGCTCCAAGATGACCCAAGAAGCGCTCAAGACGGCCCAAGAGGGCCCCAAGACGGCCCCAAGAGGGGCTCAAGCAAGGGACCACGAACCGAACCGAACATTCGATATTTGTGCCTCGAGGAGCCCCCAGGAGGCCGCCAAGAGGCCGCCAAGAGGCCCCAAATAGGCGCCCAAGACGCGCCGAAGAGGCCTCCAATATGCCCAAAAGGTGCCCTTCGAGGCTCCAACAGGCCCCACGACGCGCCCAAGCCGCCTCCGAGAAGCCCCCGAGAGGCCCCCCACGACACCCCAACACATATACAAGAGGCCTCGGGGCGAAGCCCGTACGAATAAGCAGTTATACGGATGGGGTGGGGGTTGGGGTGGGGCAGTGCATTTTTGGACGGGGGATCTCGCTTGACACCTCGTTGAACTGCATGATCATCGTGCGTTTCGATTATTCCCGAGACTTCAGGAGTACGCGCCAGAATGATGCAGTGCAGTTAACTTTCAGAACGTCCCTCTTGCTAAATTGGCAGGCCCATATGGTGCTGGCCTTGAAGGGGGGGGGGGGGGGGCAACTTTTGCAGTGACATGGGAAGCTTATAGGTAGGTATGAGGAGGGAACTTGGGATGGGAGGATGTATTGCAACATCGCTGAAACACCTTGGGTTTACTCTGATCCTCCTCCTCCTCCTCCTCCTCAACGACCTCCTCCCTCCTCCTCATACTCCATCTTTCTACCTTCCCACCCTCCTCTTCCTCCTCCCTCCTCCTCCTCCCCTCTTCTCCCTCTCCCCCTCCTTCTCCAACATCTCCATCTCCCCCTTCGCCCTTTTCCCCTTCCCCCTCTCATCATCCCCTCCTTCTCCTCCTCCTCCTCCTCCTCCTCCTCCTCCGACCTCCTCCTCCTCCTGCTCCTCCTCCTCTCTATCCAACTGCTTCCCCTCCCTCTCCCTCTCCCATCCGGAGAGAAGGGTAGCAGGGAAGGAAGGGCGAGTGGAGAGAAAGGCAGAGAAGCATGGGGAGGGGACGAGAGGGACGGGGAGAAAAGAAGCGAGAGGGGGGAAGGCGGGGTGGCATGGCGGCTTCTGGGCCTGGGATGCTGATGTGCCCGGCAGTGCCTTCCTCCCTGTCGCCTCGTGCCCTTCGTCTGCTCTTTCCTCCTTCTCCTCCTCCCCCGCCCCCCCCCGCTCAGCGTGAACACTGCGCGGCCGCCGCGAGCTGAGGGCAGAGGCCGCCAACCAGCAGCAGGCGCGCCGGTGCACAGGGGAGAGGGAAAGACGACGGACGTCAGGCATGGAGCACAGGAGCGCCAGCACAGGAAGAAGACACCGGACATACTCATAAGCTTTCGGAGCTCTGCGCGAGCTTCTCGGATCGGCGCTGGGCCCCCCTTCCCTGGCGCGCCGATCCAAGAACTCCACGGGAAGCTCCGCATGTTTATGACTACGCAATGTATTCTTCTTTGAAGGAAGATGGGCCGGGGGATCAGAGGCCATGTGGCATCCCCTTGGACATTGGGGTGAGTGGGAGATCCCTGGCGACAGAGAGAACAGATGGGTCAGGTCTCCTCCCCCTCTTCGGGTGGCTGGTTGTAGTACTTCTCGTCCTCGGGGTCCAACCATTCCGAAGGTTCCTGCAGGGGCGTGTGGTAGCGAGACTGCAGAATTCCCCAATTCCATCTTCCGGAACTTCGTCGTCCTCCTGCTCCTCCATGCTCCCTCCTCCCCCTCCTCTTCCTCTTCCTCTCCGTTTTCCTCCTGCTCCTCCTCCGTGCTTCTGCTTCTTCTCCTCCTCTAAAATAAATAAATGGAGAGATAGATAGATAGATAAAGACAGAGAGAGCTGATACATATGTGTATATATATACATATATACAAATAGAGAGAGAGAGAGAACAAAACAACTAGAGAGGGATAGGGAGGGAAAGAAAGAGAGAGAGGGAGATACAGAGAGAGGGAGAGAGAGAGAGAAGCTAAGAGTGAGGTGTTTTCACACACATGTATAGGTATGTATGTATATATGTATATCTGTATGCCTGTGTATATTTTTATATAGATGTATGTATGTATGTATGTATGTATGTATGTATGTATATATATATATATATATATATATATATATATGTAAATATGCACTAGAACCACGCGCGCGCTTCGCGCGCGCTTAGGTTCTATCGCCGACTCCTCCGCAGTCATTGCCAGTGGCTTTGCGCGAATCCACACACTTGATTTTACCAAAGGAGAAGTGTCCCGAGCGTAAGCCACCATTAGCGCGTGGTGCCAGGCTTTCTGAGGGATAGCAACAGGCTTGTGGGGCAGTCACGGAGTCCGTCGACCCCTTTTGGGTTATCAAGGCGTGTGAGATTCCCCCCCATGATCCCCCCCCGGAGAAGGGGGGGGGGAGGGCCAAGTTGCAGCTGAAAGTGCTGAGCGAACTTTGCCCGTTTGACAATGGGATCCTCACTGTCAAACGGGCAATCGGCCACACTTCCCTTCATATTCCTTGATTGACAGTGGGGATCACATTATAAAATAAGCAATCGGGTACCCCGATGACCCATTTGACAACGGGATTCCTTTTGCTCATTGGGCGATCGGAGCTCAATTCGCCCGCCTCGGCCTTGCCCCCTCGATTGCTAGTTTGAATGTGGTCCCCACGGTCGAGAAGGCAATCGGAGCTCAATTCCCGCGACTCGCCCCCCCCGATTGACAGTGGGCCCCCACTGAAAATGGGCCATCGGAACTCAACTCCCGCGCCTCGGCTTGCCTCCCCGAAGGTCCACGTGGCATCGAAAGGCGTCTCTCGGCTGACCGGCAAAGCAGGGCGCGGCGATCTCGAGGGACCCGGGCGCAGACGCCTCCTCTACCCCCTCCTCGTCTTCCTTCCCCCTCCCAGGCTGGCGTTTTGCACGGTGGAGTTCCCTTCTTCTGAGTGCGGAAGCTGGTAATTTCAATGGCAGCAAGTATCAAGCCTGGATGCCTCCAAACTGTTCCCCTGAAGCTCCGAGAGCCTTCCGAATTGTCTCCAAACGGTCCCCCAGAGGGCTCCCAACTGATCCCATCAATCATCTGACCAAAATATCCCCTGAAAGCCTCAAGACGCGCGGAAGAAACCCCAGGGGGCACGCAAACAGCCCACCAAGGTCGCCCGACCTTCTCAAAAGGCACGTGAGATGCTGTTTTTTTCCGTCTTCGAAAACATCTTGGGACAATGGCGATCCCCATGGAATATCCAGCACTCCATACATTGCAACACCCACGTGCGCCTGTAGCGGCGGAAGGATGGCAAAAGAACGGCACCAAGCTGCCGCTGACGCCTCGGCTCTCGAGAGCAGCCGCTGCATGCACACGTCTGTTGCAACACGCATCGCCAGGCTGGCGAGGGCCGCCTCTCCAAGGGATACTCGGAGTTGGTGGACACGCGCGCGCGCCTGGCTCAGCGGGGTCAGAGATGATGCTGCCTTGCGCACGGCGTCTGAACAATTCTCGAACGGCCTAGATGGCCTCGGCCTGAATGTCTAGCAAAACATACGTTGCAACACCCACGTGCGTCTGTCGCGGCGGAAAGATGGCAACATAACGGCACCAGGCTGCCGCTAACGCCTCGGCTCACGAGAGCAACCGCTGCATGCGTTTATGTCCGTTGCAACCAGGATGGTCAGGCTGGGGAGGGCCACCTCTCCAAGGGATACCCGTCCTGAGGCGGTGTCGGAGGCCTTGTGGCCCGTCGTGGGGTGTCAGGATGGGGAGAACGAGAGGGCACAGGAAAGATGGAACGACTCAAGCGAAAACAGTGATTTTTGCTGCTCGGGGCACTCGGCTGGGGCCCCGTACGCCCTCTGGAGACTGCCTGGGGCCGTCCTGGCGCCTTCTGGAGGCCTCCGGGGAGCTCGTTGAAGCGACAGATTCAAGATTGCGCTTCACGACCCCCCTCGGGACGCCATCTTGGGGCCGTCTTGAGGGCCTCGTGGGCCGTCTTGGGCGCCCCTGGGGGCGTCATGGGGCCTTGCCAGGCCGTCCTGGGGCCTTCCTGGGGGCCGCTGGGGGCGTCCTGAGCGGCGTCGGAGGCCTCGTGGGCCGTCGTGGAGCGTGAGGATGTCGACAAAGAGAGGGCACCGAAAATATTGAAAACCCTGGCAAAATCAATTATTTTTGCGTATCTGGGTCCTCGTTTGGGGCCTCGAGCGCCCACAGAAGCTGGCATGGGGCCGTCCTGGCGCAGCCTGCAAACCTTCTGAGGCCGTTCAGAGAACATTTTCGGTGCGGGTGTGCTAGACCCACTCGGGTAGACTGTCATATCAATTGGTGGGTTCTCCGTGCGACCACAGGGCCACCAGGAGCCCCACGAGCGGGCCCCTGGAGCCCCTATCCTCCCATGTGTATCCGGGGTCCCCGTTCTGGGCCTGCCCAAGATGGCCTCTTTCGGCCCTTGTCAGCATCGTTGGGGTTTCATGGGCCGTCTGGGAGCGGCCCTGGGCCGTCTCGTCGCCACGGTGGAAGCCTGATTGGACGATTTTGTGGTGTCCTGGCCCGTCGTGGAGCGTCTGGAATGCGAACAGGCAGAAACGCTGAAATGCACCAAAAACCAACGGAAAATCAATGATTTTGGCTTCTGGGGGCCCTTTTGGGTGTGCTGTTGGGGACTCCTTCGGCCGTGTTGGAAGCCTTTTGGGCCATCCGGAGACCATCTTGGGCTTGTTAGATCGATAGTTCGGTGACCGTAACTCTTCTGGAAGCCACTTGGGGCGATATTTGGGCGTCGGGGACCGGCTTGGGGCGTCGGGAAGCTGAACAGGCAGAAGCGCTGACATGTGCCCAGAACCGTAGGAAAAGCAATGATTTTGGCTTCTCGGGGCCTTTTTGGGAATGCTCTTGGGGGCCCCTTGGGCCGTGTTGGAAGCCTTGTGGGCCCTCTGGAGGCCATCTTGGGCGTGTTCGAGCGATTTGTCCGCGTTTCGGGGCCTCTTGGAGGACTCTTGCGGCCCCTTTCTGGAGTGTTGGGGCTGTCTTGGGCCGTCTGAGGGCGGCCCTGGGCCGTCTCGGCGCCCCACAGGAAGCCTGTTTGGACGATTTTTTGATGTTCTGGACCGTCTTGGGACGTCGGGAAGTCGAACAGGCAGAAACGCTAAAATGCACCAGAAAACGAAAGACAATTCATGATTTCGGCTCCTTGGGGTTCATTTAAGAGTGCTCTTGGGGGCCCCTTGGGCCGTGTTGGAAGCCTCGTGGGCCATCCACATGCCATCTTGGGCGTGTTAGAACGATATTTCCGCGACTGTAGGCCTCTTGGAGGCCTCTCGCGGCACTTGTCAGCTGTGTCGGGGCTGTCTTGGGCCGTCTGGGGGCGTTCCGGGCGGCCTGGCACCCTTATGGAGAGTTGGGAGAAAACGCACCAAGTCGGACGTGGTGTTCATCCGCGGGCGGGGGGTGCAAGCTCCTCGTGCCTGGCCCTACTGGGCGGGGGGGGCCGACTGTAGATGGCAGGGGTGGCAATACAACGAAACCTCCCCCCCCGCGGATCAGCGAAGCGTGCCTCCTCCTCCTCCTCCTCCTCCTCCTCCGCCTCCTTCGCTGGCCGAGTGGAAGAGCGAAGCGGCTGTCGCGATCAGGGCGCGGCACGCCCCGTCTGCACGCCAGAAAAAGAAAAAGGAGGCTCCAGCTCTTGGCGCGCGCCGGCCTGCGCGTCTCGGAGGCCCGGGAAAAAGGAGGGCGCCGCGCTGGGGGTGCCCCTCGGCGGCCCGGTGACAAGGCCGCGGCACAACTGGCCAGGTGGCCCGGAGGAGGAGGAGGAGGAGGAGGAGGAGGAGGAGGAGGAGGAGGGAAGACGAGGAAGACGAGGAAGAGAAGGAGGAAGAGTAGAGAGAAGGTCGCGCCTTCCTCTTCAGCCATTCTGGCTCAGGCGGGCAAAGGTGTCCTCGCATCGCGCGGACAAAAATAAGATGGAGGGGCCAGCGCTGGCGTGCCAGCGGTGGGCTGCAAGTCGCGCTGGATCGTGCTTCTTGAAGCCTGTCATAGAGGCGTCTTAGTAGTCGCTGGATGCTACGCAGAGCGGGTGTTCGAGGCCGGAGGGGGGCTGTTGCAGCGCCGCGGTGCTCGTGGTGCGCGCGGCTTCGCGACCTGGGTGGCTGTGGTCTGGCCGTGGTGGGGCGTTGCGTAAAAGCGCGTCTCCAATCGGTGAGCCGTGCCGGTGTCACTCGAGCACCTACACCCTGCTGGGTGGTACTATGGCCCTTGGTCCCCGGTTCCTGGTGGGGCGGAGGATCTACATGGTGGCAGGATGCGCTGCGAGGGGGGGCTGGGTGTGCGTCAGCGCTGGCCACCCCGGCGGGTTGGGGCGACGGGGCTGGCCAAAAGGGCGCAATCCGCAACCCCTCGCCTACCGTGCGGAGATCCTCTCCAAAGCGGTTGGCGTTGAGGGCGCGATTTCTTTCTGGGGTGTGGCTAGCTGTGTCGGGGGGGGGGTGGTAGGGTCCGTGTTGCCTCCCGTGTAGCCCGACCCCCAATTGTCCTGCGTAGTTCGCGGCGTAGCGCCGGAGGTGAGGTCCTGGTGGGCCTTCGCCTCCTGGGTCGCTGTTGTCTTGTGTCTTTTTGGAGGAGGCGTTCGTCGCCCGCGCCGCGACCGTCGCTGTCGTGACTTCTTGGTGAGGAAGGCGTGTTATGGAGGCCCCCCCCGAGACCAAGTGGGTTCTCTTCGTCTCCTTCGACGTCGTCGGGGGGAGGGTCCTAGGTTCCCCACGGGTCGTCGAGGTCGTTGTAGAATTCTGGCCCTGGTGGGCCTTACGAGTGTGGTGGGTCGCCGGGTGGGTCTGATGGCTCGTCCCCGCTGCCACCTATGGTGAGAGAGTTGGGTTCCATCCGGTGGAGTTCCGACATGGAGTGGCCAGCTCGTCTGTCTGGAAACGGCAATGTGTGGTGACCACGGTCATATATCGCGACCGCTGTGCTGTGGAGGACAGCCGCGATTGCATATCGCCGCTTAACCGAGTCGATCACATCCTGAGTCAGGGAGCGCATGCGGATTCCAGCTGTTGCTAGCTCGTCCTCGTGGCGATTGAAGGCCTCGGTGATTGGCGAGCTGCGGCCTTTGTTGATCCCTTGCTCCCCGAAGTGGTTTTCGACTCTTTGGGTCTTGGACATGCCGGGTTCGGCGTGGACCACAGGGTGGATTTTTTTGCCAGAGGTCGGCCTGCGAGCCGTAGGTTTGTGGTGGATCTCCTTCGAGGGGGGCTTCGGTCCCGTCGACGACGGCGTTGTTGTCGACGAAGATGCGGGCGGGTCTCCCCGCAGTGGCGATGAGATGAAGCAACGCAAGGGCCTCAACAAATTGACCGCCCGTGCACCACCCATTGCACCAGAGCTTCAAAATTAAGTCGGGAGTGTCCCCCTACAGGGGGATTTTGTACGCCAAACTTTAAATACCCCCACAATATTTAAAAATGCTCAAAAATAATCCAAACATCGAACTGCCGCCCAAACGCGTGTTGGGCACAATTTGCACTGCGCTGCAAGGGCGCCGCGGCGGGCGCCAGGCAAAGCCGCGAAAAGAAGGAAATCGGCGAATGCTCCAACGTCTGGCCCAAGAGCTTCTTGAACTGAGCCCCGTAGGAGGAGGAGGATAAGGAGGAGGAGGAGGAACATGATGAGGAGGAGAAGGAGGAGGAGGAGGAGGAGGAACAAGGAGGAGGAGGAAGAGGAGGAGGAGGAGGAGGAGGAGGCGGAGGAGGAAGGGAGGAGGAGGAGGAAAAGGAGGAGGAGGAAGTCTGGTTGCAGTGCTGCTCGGAGCTGTCGTGTAGCACCAGCCCAAATGTTTGGCCCCGGATCGTTGTCGTTGCGGCGTGTCCCTTGAACTTTGTTGCCGACATCCTGCAGCGAAGGGGTGCAAGCAGCCTGCTTCCAGAGGCCCAGCCAGGCCGCCCGTCGGGTCGAGTTCGGGGCCAGCGTGCTTCTACAAGCGCCTGGTAGCATTGAAAAAAGCGTGCGCGGCCTAGCTGACTCTGGAGGGGGGGAAGGGGAAGGGAGGAGGGAGGAGGGCCCAGCGTTGCGAGGAAGATCCGCGCCACGAATCTTGACTTGAAGCCGGGCGATGAAAACATTGACAGGCACCTGTAAAGAGCAGCCTCGCCCCCTCTCTCTCTCATCCTTTCTCTCTCTTTCTCTCTCTCCCTCCCCCCAATCACGGGAAGGCCCGGAGCCCCTTGTACCTGCGCGGCCGTCAACCCAGCATCTGCTGCTGCATGGGCGGGCCAGTGCCACTCTCACAATGGGCGGCGCTGCACGTGTAAGAGAACACTCCTGTGGAGCCTATGTATCTGCAGCATGCCTCCGCCTTCAAGCAAACAGCGTGAAACTGGATACGCTAAAAGCGACAACGATGGCGGTTTTCCAACCAATCATCGAGTCGGGGGCGGCGGAGACATATTCACAAATATCTGCACTTGTCGGCGCCGCTGTGGGTGCGGCGCCCGTGTAGTTGCCGTCTGGTAAAACCGATGGCAACACGTAGCCGAGAGTGTGAAGCAGCTGTGCCAGTCACAAGTGCATAAAGTCTAGCCGTCTTTGGGTTGCTTTCCAGTGCTGCTGTTGTGTAAGCTTCCCACTCTTCGCTCATGTCTCGCCCTCCGCACTCGTAGCCATAAGCTGTTGTCCACGCATGATAGAAGCCTTCAGTAACGAGGCACCCACCGCCACAACTTGCCTCCGCATAGTGGAAGACACCATCCTTTGTTGAAGGAGCAATCGTACTGACCTGCATCGTCGCACGGCAGAGGGGCATTCGTGCATGTGCATGTGTAGTGCGTGCACTTTGCCTTTGCCGTTGCGCACGCACCAGCCTTTTGGCAATTGCCATAAGCTTCATCTATGGATATTTGCAACTCACTAGATTCGCTTGCAAAGACCGTCGGGCAGGTAATTTCCAACCCATGGTAGATGCCATGGTGAAACTCCTCAATTAGCTGTCTTTGGAACCTCGTGTCCTCCGAAAGATTTTCCTGGCCCCGTGTCCGTGCAATGCCAAACCAATTGTCTTTCAATCTATCACTGCCAATGCTCCCACGGCACTTCAGGATAGCGAAGCCCAATTTCCCTGCACTGCCAGGTGCCAGTGCCCCTGCACGGCAGCTATCATCGGCATGTCCATCCTGGTCGCTGTCAAAGTAAGGCCAATATCCAAATCGGCGTCTGTTTTGGACGACGGATCGCAATCCGAGGGCGCTGACACAACATCAGGATCCGGGCAAATTTCCCCTTGGACGAAAGTGGAAGTGCCGAACAATATTGCCACAACGACGACGTTTGCATGTTTACCAACCATAGCTTACAAATTCGTGAAAACTCAGGCCCTGAGAAGCTCGCCCCTGAGAACTGAGCTGAAACCGCCTGGCTTAAGCAGAAACTGCTTGAAGCCAAATGGCTATTGGCGGAAGCGTCCCCACTGTCATTTCACGGGTTACCGCGGCGGGCATTGCAAGCTTCGTACATGCAGCCTGTACTTAAACACTCACTACTCGAGCATCGCACGTATGCATTGCTCAATTGGCATGGCCTTTTAAATAATGCCGTGCTCATGCTGCGCGAAGAGATGCCCATGCCGTGTAGCATGTATACAACACATCTGTCACGCGGACGCAGCGGTGATAGCATAGGCAGTAGTTACAACTGGATTTCGCAAGTGCACATATCGACCAGAAACGCGCGCGCTTCGCGCGCGGTTGGTTCTAGCAAGCCCCAGTTCTTCAAAAGGTACAGCTCCACTCAAGTAGTTACCCAGAATTGGTTCGAAGATGCAATAAAGAAACATCATCGATGTTGACCGAACATAATCTCTTACCGACAAAGACGCTTCCACGCAATTCAATACGAAGAAGTCAAGAGCAGTGAAAGGAATGCAATCAACGCAATGACAACCCGATGCAACGCATTGCAATGGAAACCAAAGGCGAGGGCAATCCAACGCAAAGGATTGCAAGCGGACGTCGTCGACGTCCTCGTCCTCGTCCCCGTCCTCCTCCTCCTCCTTCTGCTCCTCCTCCTCCTCCTCAACCCTTTCTTGACCCTGGACCCTGGTCCCCTGGGACCCCTGGCCCCTGCAACCTCTGAAGGGTTCCAAGGACACACGCACACACATAAATACACACAAATTCCACTATTCCCAATCTTTTTTCATATTTTCTGGGTTTTTGGTCTTCCCCCCCACTTCCCGTATTTTCCTACATTTTCCTGGGAATCGTGGATTCATTGTGTCTGTGTCTGTCTTCCCCTCCTAAACCTCGTCCCCTGGACACCTGGGTCCTGCACCCTCGGCTGCTGGGCTCCGGACCATTCCTCGGCCCCCGTGCCCTGAACTCCTTGACCCCTCCCCCGCTCCTGGACGATGACGACGACAACGACGGAGAAGACGATGACGACGCCGCGGCGCCGGGAGGGAGGGAGGAGGGAGGAAGGAGGGAGGGAGGGGGCAAGGGTGGGAAGGAGGGAGGGAGGCAGAGGAAGCGGAGAGAAAGTGAGCGAGGCAGAGATTGTCTCATCATCATCATCGTCATCCGCATAGCCCTCATACTCATCATCATCCTCATCATCGTAGTCATCATCATCTCCGTCATTATTATCATCATCCTCGTCATCATGAACATCACAGTCATCATCGTCATTGTCATCATCGTTATCGTCGTCATCGTCACCATCGTCGTCATCAAAATCCTCGTCACCAGCATCGTAGTCACCATCACCAACATCATCGACATCATCTCATCACCAACATCGTCATCACCACCATGTCAATCATCATCATGGTCGTCATCGTCATCGCCATCGTCATCGTCATTCGGCGTGCTCCAAAGAGACGTTTCTGGAGTACGTGAAATGGGGGCTTGCGGTCATCGTCATCGCCATCGTCATCGCCATTCTTCGTGCTCCGGAAAGGCGTTTCTGGAGCACTTGGGATGGGGGCTGGCGGGCGTCACCATAATCAGGACAATCATCACCATCATCGTCATCGTCATCGCCATCGTCATCGTCATTCTACGTGCTCGGGAGAAGCGCTTCTGGAGCACGTGAAGGCTGGCGGGCGTCTTGGACTTCCCTGGAGCCTTTCGAGGCGTCTCAAATTCTCTGAGGGGCGCCTCTGGAGCCTCCTTCGTCATCGTTATCGCCGTCGTCATCGTTATCGTCATTCTACGTGCTCCGGAGAGGCGTTTCCGTAGCGAATTCCGTGGAGCCTGCCAGGGGGCGATGTGGGGAGGGGGGCAGAATAAGCGGGAAAGAAGTGAGCGAGGGAGGGATCGTCGTCATCATCATCGTCATCGTCATCGTCATCGTCATCGTCATCGTCATCGTCATCATCATGTCCTCATCCCTATCATCGCCATCATCATCACCATCATCCTCGTCGTCATCGTCGCATCATCATCATCATCATCATCATCATCATCATCATCATCATCATCATCATCATCATCATCAGCATCATCGGCAACATCAGCATCAACATCGTTATGACGATCACCATCATCATCAACAACATCATCGTCATCGCCGTCGTCATCGTCATCGTCACCGTCACTCTACCTGCTCCAGAGAAGCGTTTCTGGAGCATGTGGAACGGGGGCTGGCGGTGCCGCGGCGCCGGGAAGGAGGGACGAGTGCGGACGGGAGTTAGGGAGGGCGCTCTTCGGCCGTCTTGGGGCGTTCCTGGGGGCCTCTTGGGCTGTCTTAGGGCGGTCTTGGGGGATTCTAGGGCGGTCTTCAACGCCGTGAAAGTCGAAAATACGTATATGCTGAAAATGTACGTTTTCCTACGGGAATGGGACGGTTTTGGCCTCTTGGGGCTCTCTTGGCAGTGCTCTGGGAGGCCTCTTGGGCTGTCTTGGGCGGCCTCTTGGGCTGTCTTGGGGCTATCTTGGGCATCTTGGAGGGGTTCTTCGGCGATGCGGGGCCCTCTTGAGCGATCGTGGGAAGCTTTTGGGGCCCTCCTTGCCCGTCGTGGAGCGATTTGGGCGCTCCAAGAGCCCCCGAAACGCCTGTACACCCACATCTGCGGTCGAGGTAGCGGTCTTGGGGGCCCCGGACCCAGCCCCCCGTTATGTGTGTGTGTGTGTGTGTGTGCGTATGTATATTTGTGTATATGTGAGAGAGCGTGATCCACCGCCGCTTTACTGTGGAAAATTGCCAACCTTTTCCTCCGGAACCCGGGGGTCGCCCCCCCCCCCCCTCTCCGAAAATCCCTCCCCCCCCCCCTCCCCCCCCCCCCCCTTCCCCCGGCAAAACCCCCCCCTCCCCTAACCCCTCCCCCCCCCCCCCTCCCGCTCGAAAACCGGGGGGGGTCACTACCGGTTCGAACCCCCCCCTCCCCCCCCCCCCCCCCCCCCCCTCCGGATCCGGAAAACCGGGGGGGGTCACTACCGGTTCGGGCCCCCCCCCCCCCCCCCCCCCCTACTCACCGCCAGCAAACGACTCCCGGTCCCCACCACCGTCCGCATCACATCCCCCACTGGTGTTCCCAGCACCACTGTCCTCACCACCGCTGTCCCCACTGGTTCCACCACCGCCCCTACTGTCCCCACCAGTGGCCCCACCACTGTCGCACTGTCCCCGCTGTCCCCAGAACTGTTCCCACCACGGTTCCACTCTCCCCACTGTCTCCACGGCCCCAACCACTGCCCGACTATCCCCACTGTCCCCACTGTCCCACTGACTCCTCCGCTGTCCCACTGAGCTGTCCCACTGTTCCCACCACTGTCCCCACTGTCCCCACCACTGTCCCCACTGTACCTCTGTCCCATTGTCCCACCGCCGTCCTCGCCACCGCCTTCACCACTGTCCCCACCACCATTGTACCCTCCACTGTCCCACTGTTTCCACCTCATTCCCATTGTCCCCACACCACTGTCCCCACCACCACCGTCACCACCACTGTCCACTGTCCCCCCCTGTTCCCACCATTGTCCCCACCACTGTCCCCACCACTACCGTCCCCACCACTGTCCCACTGTCCCACTGTCCCCACCACTGTCCCGCTATCCCCTCACCACTGTCCCCACCAACACCGTCCCCACCACTGTCCGCACCCCCACTCGGTTTTCGAGGGGGGAGGGGGTTCGAACCGGTAGTGACCCCCCCCGGTTTTCCGGATCCGGAGGGGGGGGGGGGGGGGAGGGGTTCGAACCGGTAGTGACCCCCCCCCCTTTTCATGATGAGCTGGGGGGGGGGGGGGGGTTCGAACCGGTAGTGACCCCCCCCGGTTTTCCGGAGGGGGGGGGGAGGGGTTCGAACCGGTAGTGACCCCCCCCGGTTTTCCGCCAGCAGCGGTAGAACACGCTCTTTCGTATATGTACATACACCAATGCACTCACACATGTACTATATTATATATATGTGATATACACACACACACACACACACCTACATGTCTATATATGTATGGCGTTCATGCACGATTCGCGCGCGCATGTGCACGCGCACGCACGTCGCCCGCGTGCGAAACTCGAAGGACCCAGGTGCATGGCGCGAAGCGCCACTGCAGCCTCACATATCTATAGTTGAACAACTTTTACTGTAGGTGTATGGGCAGATGCATAGCGGCGTTTGCTCCTCCAGGAGCTTGTCGCGCATGTACTCCTCGCGCTCCTTCACGCCGCGGAGCCTGCGGAGGAGGGCGCCCCGCCGCTCGACGAAAGGCGTGGCATGCCGCAAACAGTGATGCGGCTGCTTGGAATTCGTGCGTCCTCTGGGGGAGAGACTCTGCCTGCTCGAAACACTCGCCATCGCTCGGACGTCCATTCCCTGTGCTTTTTTGGTTTCGTGCGTGGTTTTTTCGCCAAATGATCAAGGATGCTCCTCGGTGGTCCTCTCCGGAGGACAAATGCACACGTCCGAGCGATGCCAGGCCTCTGGGGGAGACTCCACCTGCTCGAAAGAGGCGCCCAAAACAGCCAAGATCTACTCCGTGGAGGGGGGGGGGGAAGGGGGTGCGAGGGCCCGCGCCGATCGGCAGAACAATGAATAGAACAACGATCACCCATGTCTTTTTTCTATGGTGTGTTTGGCCTGCCTGTCTCTGCGGGATCCAATCGGGCTGCTCGGGGACCCGCGGCGGCTCTGCGGAGAGGACTATCCGCGGACCGAGACTCCACAGCAAAGCCCCTTCAGAGGGCTGGCCCTCCCGAGAGCCGAGGAGGGCCCCGGGAGGGCTCCCGACCAAGATGGGGCCCGCTCTTGGAGGGCGCCAAGCCGATCTCAAGAGGGCCCGAGAAGCCCCCCTGAGGCCCTCAGCATCGGGGGTGCGCAAGCATGGATGATCGGGGCAGGTGCCCTCCCCCAAAATGCGGCTGGTGCCGCCTCCTTGGGCGGCGGCAGTCCGCGACTTCCCATGGAAACGGGACCCGTCGCTAATCCACGCCCCCTTGATCCATGTTTGCGATCGCCTGACCCGAGCCAATCCCAAGAGGACCCGAGAAGTCCCCGAGAGGCCATCAGTAAGACCCCCACGGATCCCCAGGAGTCCCCTGAGATGCTCCGACAACCCAGGAAAAGGGTTCAAGCATTGCCTTCTCGTGCTCTCGGGCTTCGATAGCGGGGCTTGGGTAGGGGTGTGTCCTGTTGAGTGTTGCACTCAATCTACCAAGCGACTGCTTCCCCCCCCCCACTCGATCTTTACACGACAGATTGGGGACACTTCCAACCGTTATCAACTCCCCAATGCCCACGAGAACGCAAGCAAATGGCAGAGATGATACAACATGGGCTAACGGAATGCTCGAAGCGGTTCGCCGCCACAACCAGTACTGCGTGCGAGATCCCCGCAGCGTGGTCTGCAAGGCATGCTTCTCCTCAATCCTACGACCTACGCACTTCTCGTATGTACCTCCTCCCCAGAGCCCTGGCAACCCCTTCTGGGGTCCTCCCCGCGGCCTGGTCATTCCGCTGGCCCTAGGGCCCTGGCTGAGGACTGGGCGCCCGCTGCCAGCCACTTTGCCCCCACATCGAATACGCCTTCGCACGGGAGACTGCCAGACGCCACCCGACGCCGTCTGGGACCTATCTGGAGGCTCTCCAAGGCTGTCTTTGGGGCCTGGGGCCGATTTGGCCCGCTCTTGGGACCATCTTGGGTCGTCTCGGAACCTCCTGAAGCTCTCTTCGAGTCATGTTGAGCCGGAATGCCGAAGAAACTAAAAACCCTCAACATCCACTGGATTTGGACGGTATCGGCCGTCTCGGGCTTCTTTTTCGCGCCTCTTGGAGCTCTCTTGGAGCCGCTTGTGACACTCTGGGAGCCTCTATGGCCAACTTGCGATATCTTGGAGGCCTCTTAGGCCGTATGAAGCGCTTCTTGCAGCCATCTTGGGCCATCCGGCCGCCCTCTTGGCGCCCTCTTGAGCTGTCTTGGCTGCCCCCGGGAGGTCCCTGGAGGCCCTCCTGAGGGGCCAAAACTAGAATTCGCAGCTCCCTATTTTCGCTCCGCCTCCTTTTTTCAGTCTGGTCCGCCGTCTTGACACTTTTGGCTGCCCTTTCGGGCTGTTCTTCTTCTCAAACCTCTCTGGGCCCTCCGGTGGAGTTTTTGGAAGCTGTGGGGCCCTCTTGGGCAGGCTTGGACCCCTCTCACGGCCTCTGCTGTTTACGTTGCCCTCTTCTTTCTCCACCATGGCCTCCCCAAGTCTGTTCGTGGTCATCACCCCTTCCCACTTTTTCATCACAGCGACCATGTTCCGCCCCCTCACGGGCGTTCAACTGAAGAATCTGCGAAATGGAGTGTGAAAATGGTGGAGTGGCCCTCCCTATCTCTGTGTCACTTCATGATCTTGCGTATCCCATCCTGGTTCAAGGCAACTCGCCCAGGTTGGTTTCTGGATGAGCTTCAGGGGATATGCGAGGCGTCAACCATGTCTCACATGTTGGCCATACATAGCCAGTGTGGCAAGGCCAATTGAAAGGGTGCTGAAGCGCCTGCGCCACTCGAAGTACGGCACGTGCAGCACCTTATAACCCATGCGAGTAAGCAGACGGTGCTTCAACTTCGTGTATGCGGTGTACTTCTTGGAATTCGCGTAGAAATGGGACGGTCCGTCAACCTTCTCACGGGCCGACACGTAACTTGCTCTCCCTCGCCTCCGACTCTCCCCCTCCTCATCACCTTCGCCACGCTACACTAGTATGCGCGCAGATGGCTGGAGCAACCTACAGTAAGAAGCGAGGGCGTTAGGCATGATGAAGCAATGGCACTCGCATTAGCGACATTTGGCCCAGGATGGCGGAGGATGAAGAGGGCTGCACCAGAGGGCCTCCCAGCGCTCAAAGTGAAGCATAGGTGAACGACGAAGAGGAAACGGGCCTTGCGCATGACGACACAGCAACCTTGCGCGAAAGCTTGCGCCAACCGCTGCCGTGGCGCACCAAGTGGAGAGAGAGAAATCTACGTGGCACCTTCCGCGCGATCGTCCGTGCAGTCGACCCCGTGGGTTTACGTCGCTCAGGTGCTGCTCACATTGCCAGCAGCTGAGGAGCATCCACACCTCTGCGCTCAAACACGACACTCTGGCTCTAAGAAATGGTTCCGCCGACCTCGTATCTCTTTAACGGTGCCTCTCGGGCCATTTTGTTGTTGCTGTTGTTGTTGTTGTTGTTGTTGTTGTTGTTGTTGTTGTTGTTTGTTCTTTTTCTTCCGCGCGCACCCTTCCGCACATTCAACCCACGAAGAAGGGCGCTTTTGGCGCCGGGGCTGCGCGGCAACAACAACAAAAACACGCGCGGCGACACCTCCGAAAGGGTCGCGCGGAGGAGGCCCGAAGCACGGCAACGACCCCCGCCCCTCGCGAGCTGGCCGTCGCGAGCTGCCGCGCGAGGTGCTGCACTCGTCGTCGGCCGCTACCTCACCCGCCTCCCCTCTCGGGTCCAGGACTGTGCGGCATCAAGCCGCAATGAAAACATCAAAAAGAAACCCGATCCAGACCTGCTGTTCCCGGATCGTTTGTGGTATAACAAACAAAACCTTACCACATTAATGATTATCACCAGCGTGGACCCCTTTCAGCGATTGATGAACGAACGAACGAACCAACGAACGAACCATCACATCGGACGTTTGTCCGGGTCTGCAAAGACCAGGTGGGTGAGGCCATGGCCTCCTGTAGACATGCAGACATGCATAGGAACTGCGAAGCATACGAAAAATTATGAATCTGCGCAACACACAAAAAATATGACGGGGGAGGAGGGGAGGAGGAAGTCCTGGCTGTGACTGTCGGCGATGTGCTGATGTATTTGTGCTCGAGTGTCGACCACGTGGAGGTGTCTTGAACTGAGAGGACCCAGGTAAGATCATTTGGTTTGCCTTGCTCATTGGTTGGCGTGGGCGCTGGTTGCAGGTCGGGTCGTTGTTCTTGGAGGAAGCTGATGAGGTCGTCGTCCCAGCGCTTGCGCTGGCCGCCGTGGCGTCTCCGGCCACGTTGGCGTGGGTTCTCTCCTGGTTGCCAGTGGAGTGCTCGCCACATCCATCTGGTTGGCTCGTGGTTGGCTACCTTGGATGCCATGCGCCACAACCTCTTCCTGTGAATCATCTCCAAATTTTCAATGAGGTGGTGCTGCATGAGCTGCTCTGCGCGCCGCGTGGCTCGCTGGATGTACTCGGCCCACAGCTCCATCGCGTCCTCGTCATTGTTGCTGTCGTTGCTCTCGCTGTGTCGGTCTGTCGTGTCTCGTTGGGGCGTGTTGCTCTCAACGTCGTCGCTGCTGCTGTTTTCTTGATGAGGTGCTTGGGTGGTCGTGCAGTCGTCCGCGTGGTCCTGGGCGCTGTTTGTCGGGGTCGTTCGGCGGGTAGCGCGTCGCCTTGGTCTCCTCAGGATCATGCGGAGCATGCGTCGTTGTGTTCGCCGCAAATGTTGCCGGAGAGGTTCCGTGAGCGTCCACGTCTCTGCTCCGTAGAGTGCTGCGGGTGCTACTGTCCGATTGAAAAGCCGGAGTCGGCGTGCCAGCGGATAGTGCTTGCTTGTCAGCTCCTGTTTGCGCGAAGTGAACGTTGCCCATGCTGCCCTTGTGCGGTGGCGGATTTCAGTCTCCATCGCGTCTTGGGAGCTGATGAGTTGACCCAAGTATTTGATGCTGCCATCGTGGGGAATGATGTCGATGTCCATGTCCTGAATGTGCACGGTGCGCGAGCTTGCCCTGCCAATCCCGCTGGTCTGATTGCTGAGTATTTTGGTTTTGGAAGGGTGCGGCTCAAGTCCGTAGGTCGCACTGCGTGCGCGATGTCGTCGAGCATCGTGGTGAGGCGCGGCAGTGTTTGGCTGGTCAGGAGCACGTCGTCGGCGAAGCGGAGGTTAGTGAGTGCGGAAGTGGTGGTGGATCCTAGCTGGACTCCCTTGCCATTCTTTTGCCAGTCGGTGATTAGTGGTGCAATAATATGCTGTAGCAAAACGTTGAAAAGTAAGGAACTGAGCGGATCGCCTTGCTTCGTTCCCCGGAAGAGACTGAAGGACCTGCTACTGACGTCAGTCTTGACCGTGGCTGTCTGGCCCTCGTACAGCTGTTGGAGTAGTGAGATGTATCCTCGTTGAACGCCCTGCGCCCCCAGTGCTGCCCACATGCTAGTGTGCTCGACTGTGTCAAAAGCTTTTTTGAAGTCTAGTGCCGCTATCCACAAGTTCTGGTTCCATTCGTGCGCGCGCTCGATGAGGATGTGGAACACGAGCACATGGCCGATGGTCGAAAATCTTGGCCTGAAGCCGGCCTGGTCTGCAGTCTGTTGGGAGTCGAGTGTTGGTTGGAGTCTGTTGTAGAGAAGTCTGCTGACAAACTGGTCAAATAATGGTATTGTGCATATGGGCCGATATTTTGGCGGAGTTGTAAGATCCCCACTCTTGGGAATGACCGTGGCGACAATGTTCTTCCAGCTGGATGGCGGCGGAGCGTCGGACTGGATGACCGTGTGATAGAGATGGAGAATGCGCCGTGCAATTCGTCTGTGCGTTCCTTCAACATTTCTGCTCGTAGGCCTTGTGTGTCTGGAGTTTTACCAAGCTCGAGCCCTCTGATGGAATTCGCCAACTCTTTGCCAGGGAAAGGTCGGAGGTCGTCGCAGCGTTGCTCTCGCTGCGTCGGCTTGGCCGTTGCGTCGTACAAATGCTCGTAAAACTCCGCAAATACATCTGCACTTTCTTGCCAGGACGTGCGTTTTAAGCCTCCATTGTCTGTCATGTGTGTAATGAGAGTCCTTGTTCTGTGTGTGTGTTGATACGCGGGATACTTTTGAGGCCTCTGAGCTGTTCGAGTACGCTTCCTATATGGGCCCGTCGTGTCTCTCGCTTCTGTGCGCGGATCTCCTGCTGTATCAATTTGCTCGTTGGTGGTGGTCGTTGTTTGGGGTCTTGTGTCGCTGTGCGATGAGCAGGCGTAGATGCTCTGCTCCCCTGTCGGGTTGTCGGATTGCCCGTGGTGCTCCAGCTCTGCTTGCGGCGGCGGCGTCGATATCTTCAACTCAGCGGTGACAGCCTTGTGATCGGATCCCAGGTCGATCACGTTGTTGGCCTCGGCATTCGTGCAGTGCTTGACGAGCTTGCGGTTGAGCAAAATCTAATCGAATTGTGTCTGCTTGTCGCTGCTGATGTACGCGAATTGCTTATGCACAGGTTTACGGAAAAACGTGTTGGCAAGTACAAGCCCTTCTTGGGCAGCCCATTGTCGCATCCATGTGCCCGTCGAATTTTCGATCCCATATCCTTGGCGGCCGACGCACCTGGAGGTGACGAGGTCGTCGTCGTCGTCGCCGTCTATTGATATACGGGATGCCCCCACCTGCGCGTTGAAGCCGCCGGCGAGTATAATATGACGTCGTGCTTTGGTGTTCTCTCTGTGAATCCCGTGGATCGTGTCGTACATGTGCTGATTGTGCGGGTCGCTGTGCCCGGAGTGCGGAAAATACGCGGCCACTAATTGCAACTTCAACCGCCCTCTTTTCAACAACATTGTGGCGAGTCTTGGCGAGTGGGCTTCGAATCTCTGTATGCTCTTTCCCCAACGCTTGTGTATAAGAGTCTCAACTCCGTGGAATGCTTGGTCGTTGCCGGACCCAACAAACGTATGCCCTTCCATGGTTGTCCATAGTCCCGTTGTAGTCGTTCTCCACGTTTCGCTGGTAAACGCAAAATCCAAATGGCCATTGCCGAGCTCTGCGATGAGTTCGCAGACCTGGTCGTCTGTCGTAATTGCCCGAACATTTTTGTGAATTACCGTTGTGCGTATATCTTGTTGGTGCTCGACAGTGTTCGGTGTCGTTTGCGTTGGTGCTCGTGGTTGGTCGTGGTCGGCGCTGGTCTGGATTGGTTGGTGTTGGCTTGTCGCTGCTAGCCGGCTGTCATGTAGTTGGTGAGTGAATTTTGCAGTTGATTGGTTGTGTGTTGCTGGTGGAACTGGTCTGGGGTCGGTTGCGTCGTTGCTTGCTGGTCGTTGTTGGCAATGCTGGGCGGTGTGAACTTGCTGGTGCTAGTCGGTGCCACTGCTGGCGCTGGTGGTCGGTGCTGGTCGGTGGTGGTGGTTTGGTTAAGTGCTGCTGGTCTTGTTGGTCGGTGGTCCGTGCTGTTGGTTGTGTTGGTTGGCTGCGGTCGAGGTCTGCTGGTTCTGGCGGCTCGTGGTCGTCGGTCGCTGCTGGTCGGTGGTGTTGCTGCTGGTTGCAGTGGTCGGTGCTATTCGGCAGTGGAATACGCTGTGCTGTAAAAATGCTCAGTGGCACTTCGCCCTCTGCATGTGCCAAAACTTTTCTGCCACCGCCTGTGCTGCATGCCGGCGTTGTCGCCGAAAGTGGTCGCGATGCTGGCCTTGACGATGTAGGTCCTGAGAGCGGACTTCCTTGAGAGGGGGGGTGAAAAGTAAATTGCCGGATTCGTCCTGCAGGGCACTCTGAAAAGTCTCAGCGTTCCTGGGAAGTTTCGTCTGGACTTCATCTGGAGAGAGGGGGACAGGAAATGGAAATATCGAATGCCTATGTACATGAATTCTGGAAGATAAGTGAAACTCAAAATTGTGGGTCACATTAGCCCTATGCTCCCGGGAGGGAGGGGCATCTCTTCACTCAGACTCGGTCGCCGGGTCGGGGTCCTTTTTCCTCCATGCGTCCATGGATGCCTTCACGTCCTGTTCAACCTTATCGGCTGTTCCCGTAGCGTGCCAAACCCCGACCTCGTCGATCCATGCCACCTTCCGGCCTTTAACCTCCACCAGGCTCTTCCGCCAGACGATCTTGATGTCCTCATCCTTGACGTGGTTGTTGCGGGTCACGTGGAACTTTGTGTAGCCAAATAGCTTGCCTGTAAACCGTACTTCCATGGTCAGGTCGTTTCGAATGAGTATGGGCTTTACGTGTCCTTTCCACATGATCTGCTCTGTCTTCTTGTAGAAGTCGATTTTGTGAGATGCGTCCTCGAATGTGATGATCCCCATCTTCGCAAGATTTCCACCAGCTTCCACCTTGGCGGTGTGGTTGTCGCCCGATACCTCGGTGAATATCGCCTCGATCTTGGTGATGACGAGGTCTGGCTTCATATGCTCCTTGAAGCCTAACGCGAGTACCTGCTTGTCCCTGATATCGGAGTCGCGCTCCTTGTGGTTTCTGCGGGCGGTGGTTTTTGCACGCTGCATGTGCTTGACCTCCTCCTGCACTGTGGCCAAAGCTTCGTTGGTCTTGTTGATCTTGCTCTCTAGGGTAGCGATTGTCAGCGACGTGTGGAAGGCAGCCTGCTTCGCGGATACCGCTTGGAAGTGACTTTCGCTTGTGATCATCGGGGGAGTTGCTCGATTGGGCAACATTTTCGCCATGATCCACCCTGTGTAGAGAGATGTTGCAAAGAAGTAGTAAAGGAGATGGGACACCCCAATTCCTATCGAGACGATTTTTTCCTGGAGCCTTGATCCTTGAACCTTGCCTTGAGCCTTGAACTTTGAGCCTTGAGCCTTGATGAGCACCAGGGCGAGAACGAGAAAATCGTAACAATTCAAGGGTCAGAGAGCACCAAATATAGAACACAACCCATACGACCAGGGCAGTCCCGAGAACATCGCATCAGTCAAGGCGTCAACATGGCTGCGCCCAGAGGTCACCATTCATCAGACACCAAGTTAAACACGATAGACTGGCAACAATCAATGCATCAGGTGGCACCGATGATACAGCATTACCCATGGGGCACCAAGGCGAGCACGCTCAGATCGCACCACCTCAGACATCAACTGGCACCACCCATACTGCACGGGGGCAAGACCAATCATCTCGCAAACGCACCGTGCCGCACGTGAAACTTTCGCGTGTGAAGCTACCGTGCGTGCCGTGTCTGGCATTTGTTTTACACGGGCTAGGCAAAGAAACACCTCTGCAATGAAACGCACTGATAAGTCTGGACAGGAGCTCTCTGCAAAGGAACGCTTTCGGCGTGCATCACTACACTTTCATTTCGAGCGAGGGCTCGTGATGATAATCAACTGCCACACATTCTCATCATAGATCTAATGTGATGCGCAAAACTGTTCTCTGGAATTCGTATGCTTCGGAGACTCGCCACCGTGCCTTAGCCACTCCGCAAATTCTACCCTGACCACTCCACGGTCACAAACATAATCGCATTTGGTTTTCGTTCGCATTCTTCGTCCCCCACAAAGAGTGCCATTGACGGTGGTGATTTACTGGGAACTGCCATCATTAAAAGCAGAACTGTGCGGCCAAGTGGTCCGAGTGCGCAGAACTGCCCACTGATCATCAATGACTCAGACGGGGCCGCATTGTGCTGGGTGTAACTGGGAGTCGTACACAATTTGACGAAGTGGGTCGAAGCATAGGCACCGACCTGCAACTGCTACCCATAATGATAGTTGGCCACTCTGCAACACAGATGTCAAAAAGCCAACGACGCCAACAATTATGATAGAATTTGCAACTGGTGCCACAAGATAAACACTCCATTCTTGACCGCGATGCCTCAAACGGCCATCAGAACTTTTGCAAGCATCAAGGCCCTGCCAACACCTGAAAACGACAACAAGTATCGCACCAGAAAACAAACCAACACCGGAACTGCTGCAGATCAGCTTGAGAGGTGGCTTTCCATTCCGAAGGCTGTCCCAACATGCTGCGTGGGAGCCAGCAGACAGAAAACCCAACGTTTCGTTTCTGGTTCAGAGTTGCTTGAAGCGGAAGAGCTTAATCCAAACCAGCTGCGAAATTAAATCATGTGTCATTGGGGCTTCTGCCTGCAGCGGAGGCCTATCCACGATCTTCGCCGCGGTCTCGTCCCTCGCATCCGAAGAACACAAGCGGCTGCTCAAACAATCGAGCCGTGCTTCCCGTGCCACGACTGCTGTGCAGCGCGCGCCGTGCCGCAAATGCACCGTGCCGCGCATGCCGTGCTGTGCCTGCGTGGGTTCCGTGCTGCACGTGCTGTGCTGAGCTTGCCGGGGTGCCCGCACTGTGGCACGCATGGGGTGCCGCGCTCGAGAAGCTGCGCGTGCCGTGCCAGACGTGCCCTGTGCAACGTGGCGCCCTTCGTTTTCCGTGCCGCGCGCGCCATGTCGCGCGTGCTGGGTTGCGCATGCGGTGCTGCGAGGTGCAGAGGCGCGCGTGCCGTCCTGTGAGTCTGGTGCCACGTTGCGTGCATTGACCGCTCTCTGTATGTGTCCTCCTCCACGTCCCTGTTTTGTAGAGTGATAGAGGAAGTCTATTCTATCTGCTCAGGCTTTCCCTGCTCATATTATTTGCATGTCATGTGTGATGTTCGTATCTTATCGGCTGCCTCTCCTTTA